AGCAAGATTTTTGACTAACTAAAATACAAAATACAAGGTAAAAAAAAAAAGAAATTTACTGAATTAAAAAGTAAAATGTACAAAAAATTATTTTTATAATTGACTTTTATTTTATTTTATCAATAAGATATTGCTGTGACATTAATTTTAAAATAAAAGACAGTGTAAGTAAAGAGTTTCTCATTTTGCAAGTCTTCTGGTAGACTAGATTACATTGGTAGAACAGGTTTTGCTGCACAAAGTTAAGAAGAATATAGAATGAAAAATTGAAAAAATCAAAATTGATAAAACTTGGAACTTATGATGACAAATTTGAATTAAAGTTATCTGTGAAGAATTTCTAGAACTGGTTCTAATTTTTCTTGGCTTAAAAACACAGCAATTTGTTTATTTTAGCTTTTTTTATGTCATTCATTATTCAAGATGAATGATTATAGCATTATACAGCATTTCGGACAAACTTAAGATTTTATTTCACAATTTTCTCTAATTTTTTGACAGATTTGGCATTTCTAAAAGTTTCAACGCAGATCCCAAATTCTAGCCAAATTTACGGATATAAAAACTCTTTAGATACTGTTAAAAACCTTATCGTTTTTAATTGCATTGCTGAAGGATGAATTAAACTGAAAACAGAATACAACAGCTTACTCATGCATAAATAGAACCAAAAACAAAAATTTATTGTTTTGAGGTTCAATAATAATATTAAAACTTCATTCCAATAAGAATAATAAGAGTTTAGGCCAAAAATATTTGACCACCAAATATTTATAGCAAAAAATATTTGATCACCAAATATTTATAGCAAAAAAATATTTGACCACCAAATATTTATAGTAAAAAAATATTTTCCAAGTTTATGTGTGCATTTATTACAAGAAAATGTTTTAATTCAAAAAATAATATACATGAACATAAAAGAATAAAGAAATGACAGTATAAAACATGTCAGTATGTAGTATGGCCTCCTCAAACTTTTAGAACAGTCTTTATTCTTATTTGGTAACAAGAGACTCACAATATTTGGGCATTATTTATTGACACCATGCCTCCATTACAGTATTTCCAAGATCTGCTAGTGAGATTGATTACTGTTTGAAAACATCTGCTTTCAATTTTATCATTTTAATGGGGTTTCAATCAGGTGAATTGCTCAATCACACAACCGAACATTTACCCTTTAAATTAGCTTTTTTCTTGGGTAAAAACATAGAGGGTGCAATGCCCCCTACCTATTCACTTTAATTTTAATAATAAATATATGCATTTATTTAAATATCAAGTGTGAATGAATTAAAATAAAAAACAGCAGCTCTCAATTCAGAGAGCCCAGTGCCCATCAGAAGTTTTTGTATATATATATACATATATAATATTTAATATAACTATAATAATTGTAATTGAAGAAACTAATTAAATATAATGTTTTTTTAAAAAACCACAAAAACACAAATTAAAAAACTAGAATGTTTTAATTTTTTTTTACTGTAAAACATAAGCGAAGTGTTGCTACATCAGCTTACAGCCTGCTGCTACAAGGAAGTGCTGCAACATCCACTATCTTATAGCCTGCTGCAACAAGGTAGTGCCACTACATTGACTGAGGGTTTGGTTAGGGCAAGCAGTCTGGCAAATAAAATAAAAAACTTTTTTTATTTTATTTGATAGACTGCCTGATAGATTGATTGATCTATCAAATAAAATAAACTTTATATATATATATATATATATATATATATATATATATATATATATATATATATATATATATATATATATATATATATATATATATATATATATATATATATATATATATAATTTTTTATTATATATTTATATATATATAACAAAAATATAATATAAATTATATCATATATATATATATATATATATATATATATATATATATATATATATATATATATATATATATATATATATATATATATATATACCTAAAATAAAAAGTTGTATGTATAAATGAAAATAATTTTGAACATTGCTGTAAAAAAATCCTTATTTTAAGGGATTCATATTTATCAAGGCACCTGTTATATTAATTATATTGACCTGATGTTATCATTTATTATAGTATTATAAATATACATAAAAAAGAATCCAAACATTTGAGAAACAATAAAATAGATTGAATATAAATAATAATCTAAATAATGTGTATATATATATATATATACACAATATTTAGATTATTTTTTATATTTAATCTATTTTATTGTATATATATATATATATATTTTTTTTTTATTGTATATATATATACATATATATATATATATATATATATATATATATATATATATATATATATATATATATATATATATATATATATATATATATATATATATTATTATATATATATATATTTTATTGTATATATATATATATATATATATATATATATATATATATATATATATATATAAAATAGACTAAAGATTTAGATCAAAACTGCTATTAATACTTTATTACCATTTCTAGCTCTTTTTTAAGATCCTCCATATAATTCTTTTTTGATACATTCCTTTTGTCAGGATTAGAGCCATTGATTTCAATTGGTAGATTGATTACAGCCTTAAAATGTAAAATTAATTATCAACTTCAGAAAACTTTAGTTCAAAAAAAATATTTTTGCTCTTGTAAAACTTTGGATTATTATTAAGAAACAAATTTTACGTATTTTTTTTTTTTTTAAATTTACTAAAGTTTGTACATAGTATAACTTATATATTTATTACCATTAATATTATAATTATAATATACTACTACTACTATAATGATTACTTTTTTTGTATTATTATTAATATTATTAATAGTTTTGGTATTAATAAAAATATAATTATAATTATATCTTTTATTACTATGATTTTTATATAAATTGATAATTTATTCCTATTTTTCAAAACAATGATTAAAAAATCACAAAAACTTATACATACACTTGCATAAATTTTTGTTAATACATGCATATGTATGTAAAAATAAAATTCAATGTAAAATCAGCATGTTTAAGAGTTAAATTAATTTAAAAAATATTTTTTGTTTCAGTTTGGTTTTCAAAAACTTAGGCAAAATTTTGAAAGTTTATTATTTAAATTGTCTTTATTATCACACTGTACTACTTGCTTTGTTTCTTGTGGTGCTATAAACTAAACATATTAGCAACTTCTTTCTAATATAAAGCCATTTACTACTTGGAAAACATGATTACTAATATCTTCTTCTCCCTGATTTCTGTCTCTCCTCTTTTCTAATAATTACAAAACAATTTTATCTTAAATAATCAGAAATAACTCTGTTATAATCAAACACTTAAAGTGCAAGAAACTTAAACAAAGAATCAATAGCGCCACACTTAATTTGTTAAATACTGTCTTAAAAACATTTTAAATGGTAAATAATGATTTTTTTAAAGAAATCTTTTTTTAAACTAAATTTTTCAATTACAAATTATTGTATCTTATAAATTAATTGAAATAATGTTAGGAATCAATCATATACAATACAGTAACACAGTTTATGGTTTTCAATTACGGTTTTACAGATTACGGTTACATTTTTACAGATTATAAACATAATATCAAATATTAGAAAGATAACTTAAAATTAGAAGTGAGAGCTGCAGGAATAACTATTATCTTTACAAAACAATTAATTTTACAAAGTTTGAAATACAAATGTTCTTCAAAAATACATTCTTTCAAAGCTGTGTCTGTTTAAAATTGCCCCTAAAAAATGCATTCTTTCAAAGCTGTGACTGTTTAAACTTGCCCCAAAGCAGATATAAAAAAAACAGGTGTATCATATACAGCTGCTTGTATTTTTTTGAACTTTATGTACATAAACTAAGAAATCTTTTCATATGGTTCTCATGAAAAGGCACAAAAAAAAAGTTTAAATAAAAATGCTAATTTTACATGACCATTTTTTACTGAGCACTTATCAAAACTATATAAGATATAATATATTCAATATTTCCAATTTCTGTGTAAAATACAAGAAATGGTAATCTTACACAGAAATTGGGAATACTGAATATATTATATCTTATATAGTTTTGATGAGTGCTCAGTAAAAAATTAACATTTTTATTTAAACTTTTTTTTTTTTATATATATATATATTTTTTATAATTGATGATCAGATGGTGAGCAGATGAGATGAACATTATTCATCTGATCTTCATCATTATCTGATCGTCATTTATATCCAGACATTAGACATCATTAACAATAATTGTCATATTTCACAACCATACATCATAACTTGGTGAGCGCATGTAGTGAATAACGTTTCCTTTTATTTTAATTACTAACCTATTATAATTAGATATAACTTGACTGAGGTAAACCCTACTCTTACCCTAAATGACTTTCACTCCACCAGCTGATCTAGCTGTATCTCCAAAATAAATAAAAGTTATCAACACATTGTATTTCCAGTATTTTCTATTTGTGCATTTATAGCCCTTTTTTTTTTCCCTTGACTTCTCAACCTCTTTTCATTATCTTTTCAACACTAAAATCTTAGTAATTAATTGTTCTTTCTATGCAATCAAATATAAATTATCAGCATAGAATAGCTCCCATGTAAAATCAACACTGAACTCTTTAGGGAGAGTTTTTGACACAATAATAAAAAGCAAAGGACTTAGCAGTAAACTCTGACACACACCAATCTTTAGTTTATTTTCATACATAACCAGGATAACTGTTAGCATCCATTCTTCAATGCTTAAATACACTAAAACCTTTAACTCTCCAACACTCTTTTTCTGTGTACTCTATCAAAAGATTTATCAAGGACAACAATGCCACAAATTACATATACTTTTTTAACAACCATTTTTGAAATTGCCTTATAATAAATATTGGAATATACACTATTCTATATGTTCTAAAAAAAACTGTTTTAAAAAATGGTTTTAACTAAACCAATCAATTTTCTTATTTAGATAAAACTAAACTGCATACTATTGGTAAATACACTGCTTCTTATTTTGTTGGAAATGGTTTTAACTAAACCAATCTAATTAAACTAAATGTTTAATAAAACTCTAAATAAACTGATATACAATATATAATAATAACCAATATATAATAGTTTTAACTAAATTGATCATTATCATAATAGTTCTAACAAAACCGATCATTATTCAAAGAACCTAGGATGATACCTAGAAGTTCATTTAATATAGTTAATATATACATTATTAGAAAGGCTATAAAATAGGCTGTTAAAAAATTCCATAAAAAGTTTATACTACAACTTTTAAGCATTGAAAGTAAAAAATCATTCGAAAACTACTAAACTTCATATTTTTTAATTTCCTGGTTTGTACTTTTTCAATATCTTCATAACTTTTAATCCATAGTGCTGACTAACTACCCTGAAAAGTGTGTCTGTCAACATTTGCAATAATGAAAGCTAAAAGATTTTTTTTTAATTTACAATATTTTAAACAAATAAAAAATGTCTTTGAATAAAAAAAAAAACATTTTACATAAATTTTAAGCTTTTATAGTTTTAAGATACATAAATAATTTAAGAGAACAATATTCTATAGTGCATTACTTGAATCTATGAAGTTAAGTATTTAGCATAGCATAAAAATTGCACGCAATGCTTGATAAATCTGAAAACATTTCTTACATTGAAAGAGAAATTGTAACCATTAAAATGATTAATACTAAAATTTAATACCAATTAAATTTATGCTAAAAACAAATTACTTAAGGTGAGTTGTGCTTCTAGAAACACATAAAGTCATCCAGTGCTAATACTCAAAGAATTAATACCAAATTCTGAATATATTTTTCCTATGTTGTTTTTAAATATTTGATTTGTGCAATTTATTAAATACAGAATTATATACACAAACTTCAATCCTAACTTTACACTTAGTTTTTTTTTTTGTGCTTCTTTGATAGTGGCTATGCAACTCTTCCTGTTATCTTCTAATGAAGACACAACTCTAAAACTCAGTTTAATGGTTCAGAGACCAGCTGGTAGTAAGATGAAGATTTCTCAAACTCTCTGGTAGCTCTCAGAAATGCTAATTTCATAAAATATCAGAGTATAAATAGAACGTTGTAGTGCATGGATGATGTCCTTGTTAGTGTTTTTGGAGTGCATTGTCATGGCAATATTAAAAGCCCTCAGTGCTCTATCTATGATTGAGTCTTCTTTAACTTTAAACACGAATCAAGTACCCAAAAATACTAGGCATAAAAACCCACCACCTAACTATTTCAATCTACCTTTTACAAACATTTGTTTTCTTCTAAGAAACTTTTTATCAGTTGAATTTTACCTCCTGCAAAATTTAACAGATTTACTTGCTTTTTGTTTTCTTTAAATTTTTACTCAGAAAGTTAACTTTGTGACTAAGTTTCCAGACAACCTTAATCACTAGTTTGTGTTCAGTTTCTCTTTGTTGTCCTTTAAGTTATTCCAATCATGCAATGATCTCTATGAATCTCTTTCTTTGGACTCTGAAGTAATAAAAAAATTTCACTTTTCTTGTTGTAAATAAACTAAACTCAGTCATCTTTATTTCAGTTTGATATCCAACTAAGTTTTATCTTCATTTAACAAAACCTTGCTTGAGTCTTCTTACTTTTCATTTTTCTGATATTGATAACAATTTTTGTTTTTTAATTTGGTATCTTTTAAGCTTAGTTTTTGCAACTTAATATCCAAATAACTCCAACTACTTACTTTCACTCCTAGATTTAGCCTCTGCTTAAATTAACTTTCTAAAACTTTTTATCTTAATAATCCACAACTTAATACAAGTTATATACGTGACTTTTGAAACTTAATTGAAGCTTAAACAAAAAGATTTTAAGAGATCATTTAGACCATAACAAAATTGATCAGTTTTGTTTATTTGTTTCAATGGCATTTCTTATTGCATTTGGTTTTCAATAGGTTATAAAAGACATAAACTACGGCTAAGAACATTTCTTTTTTTATGTACTATGGTAGCATTTTGTTCTAATTAGATCAAAATATTACACACATATATGCATATATAGGTCATTATTTTTAAAGCTACTTAAGTTATATGTAAATAATGAATTTTTGCTTATCTTTTTATTGAAAAGTTTAATTTAAGTTCAAAACACTTGCCTTTTATGGTTGGTTTAAAGATTATTAGGAGAGATTTTTGTTTAATATTTGTTTTTTAATTAGGAATATATTCTCTCTGTTATGCTGCGTAAACTCATTCAACTTCTTTTCTTATATAAGCTCTTAAGTGGTGAAAGTAAAAAAATGTTTTTATTTTTGATTCTTAAATAAAAAACAACTAGTAAATTAAAGGTAATTAAAAATAAATCTAAAATTTAGTTTAACAAACATTATTAAAATGTAATTCGAAACTCAGTACTTATACTAACATTCTAGAACATTTTCATGGCTGAACTTGAAATCTGCAAAGCTACATTTCTAATGAAATTATTTATTTTGATTTTATGAAAGCTTTTAATTCTGTTTCACATACAAGTTTCTAATGAAATTACCTCATAACTGTTTTATAATATATGAGCTAATTAGTGATTATTTTAATATATATCTATAACAAACAATGTTCCATAAAGTCGTGTATAAGAATCTACTTTTTGTCGTTTATCAATGATATCAGTGACATATAAAAAGAGCTTGACATTAAGCTTTTTACTGATGGCATTAAACTATATTCCACCTGTTATACGTGGTTCTCATTCTGACCTTATCACAGGTCTTAATCGTTTGTACAAATTGGACAATAAAGAATGCTTTGTTTGCACCATTACTAAATTGAATCAAAATTCAATTGATGACGTTTATAGTATAAATAACCATTAACTTGCTCATGAGGTTGCATCGTCTGTTTTGATGTATAAAAACCGTATCATTCAATTAGATTGTTCTACATGATACAATTTTATCATTTGATACAATTTTAAAATTTGATCTTAACAGTTATTTTCATGTATACAGCAGTATTAGTGGCCTTCGGTTCCTTCTATTGATTTTCAGTTAAATAAATAAAACTAAATAAATGAAAACGTTGAGGATAGGTTTAGTGTGCCTTTAGTTGCGACGGATATTGTTTATTTTTTTGTTTACGTTGACTCTCTTTCCCGGTCTAACTTTTATTTATATGTTTTCTTTCAGGTCCGCAAAATCCTTTTTATTAACAAAACTATCTGGGGTTTGACAAGAGTCGTCAAACCCATATAGTTGTCGTCTTCCGTTAAAAATAATATATATATATATAAATATATATATATATATATATATATATATATATATATATATATATATATATATATATATATATATATATATATATATATATATATATATATATATATATATATATGTATATATATATATATATATACATATATATATACATATATATATATATATATATTATTTTTAACTGATATATATATATATATATATATATATATATTTCAACGGAAAAGTAATATATATATATATATATATATATAATATATATATATATATATATATATATATATATCTTTTAACGGAACACGACAACTTTAATATAGAGTCTTATAAACTGGTTATCGCACGTTTAAAGATGACCAAGACAGCTTTTCATGTTATCATTTAGCGCAGCAAGTCAAAAGACGGCATTAATCCAAGAAAATCCTGTTGAAGATCAAGAACTACCGTTTAATCTTCACACTGTTTGGTTGTGACAAATAGATTTCAAACTTAAAAGTTTTTACTAAACTGTCACCTCGTATGAATGTTTGTGTCCACACAGTTCAAATACTCCTTGTCATCAATCCTCGTACTGCAATAAAGCCAAAATAATATTTCCAATAAAATTAAATTTTGCAAAGGACACAAGAACTGAATTGTCAAAATGAGGCAACATGTCGTGTTTTCAGACGAAGAGTGAGTTGTCAGTTTACAGCGCCCAAAGTCAATATTGTAACTTTAAATTTTTCTAACTAGATTTTATTTAAATATTAAAATAATAATTAATTGATGCAAAGTTTTCTTTTTCGGATATTACTTGGGGCTGTCCGTTAATTATGTCAACAAAATAGAAGGAGGAGTGGTTTGAATTTTTATGATAATTGTTGACTAGGGGGAGGGGGGAGGTCAAGACAAGTTTACGTCAACAATGTTACTTTTTTAAATCTAATTACTTAAAATAAGGAAAATTCGCAGCGTTTGCAGTTATGCGTTTCATTATTTTAATAAAGCTTTTTATATTCCTACTTTTTAAAAACTGCGTTGTGTTTTAAAAAGACCCGACACATTCAGATTTAAATAAGCAAACACGAGATGTTTACACATAACACTATTATTTTTTCAATGTTGTTGTTGGTTAGTCTGCTTTACAAAAAAATAAGATTCATTTAAGAACATAGTCTATATTATACAATGTTTATATCAAGGGTCCATCCTGCGGTTCTCAAGCCTCGTGTAGTTATTTCGATGTCAAGATGTGGCTCTCCAGCTCTATGCACAAATATTAACATAATATTGAAATAAAAATGGTGGTAGGCTTTAAAAACTAAAAAACTTTGTAAGGTCTATTCATTTTTGCGAACCCTTTAATCTTTTTTTTGTTCAGAGTAAGCCTTTGTACTTAAAATACTGGAAATATGTTCCTACGTTAAAAGTTTTGATTTTTTTTTCTAAAGCTTTACTTTTATTTTATACCTTACTTTTATTCACATATTGTTCAGAGCAAGCGTTTCTTATTTTAAATGGTTACATTCATTTGAAATATGGTCATAAGTTAAATTTTGAATAAATATTTTTCTAAACATTTTAATTTTAATCACATTTTTGTATTAGTTGTAAACTAGTCTATTTAAAATGTTTTTTTGTTTTTCCCATTTCAATTTGATTTTCATAGGATGAGGGGGGGGGGTTAATTGAATTTTGACGTAATTTTATAAGGAGGTCTCTGGAAGTTTGACAAGTTGTTGACAAGAAGGAGAGGGGAGGTAAAAATTGCCAAAAAATTATTGACGTAATTGATGAACAGCCCCCTTCCTTATTTGTGGAGACTTATTTTTATAAACATAAAAAGTATTTTTTCAAAATCTCTTTTCAATACGAAAGTAAAGCTAATGCCATAGAACTTTCTAATAAATTGGGAAATGAAAAAAAAGGAATTTTCAAATACTATTCTTATTTGGAAAATTATTGATTGGGCGGAACCTTTTAAACCTGGAAGAAAGACATTTAACGTAAAACGTTGCAGTGCGGCAACGCAACTGAACTCGGAGATGTCGGCAGGAGCCCTGGGAAGAGTTCTCTTTTCTTTTTTTCTTTTTTTTCTTTTTCTTGTTATGTTTATAAAAAGCATTGTGGGGGAAGATTTTTTTTGTCAGCTTTTAACTATTTATTTTTTATTAAACCTTTTTGCGTTTAAGTTGGGCAATTTTCGCTTTAATTTGGCATTTTTTCATTTTAACTGGGCAAACTCACTATAATTTATAAAGTGAAAATTGCAAAAATAAACGTAAAAGGGTGTAGTAATATTATTTAATTTGGTTAGATTTTTTTTTTAACAATATTAGTTGGTAATGTATGTAGTATATATTATTACATTATTTTTAATTGTTGTTACAACTATTATATATATATATATATATATATATATATATATATATATATATATATATATATATATATATATATATATATATATATATATATATATATATATATATATATATATATATATATATATATATATATATATATATATATATATATATATATATATATATATATATATATATATATATATATATATATATATATATATATATATATATTTATTTATTTATTTATTTATAATTTTTATTTTTAATGCTTTAATAAACTTATTGCTTTCAATAGATTTACTTTTTTGAAAATACTCTTATGAAAATCTGTTTGAAAACATTAATTTAATTTGAAATCAAAATTTTATCTTTGAAATTCAAAAATAAATAAGATGGCAGCCTGCGGCAACAATATTTCACGCAAATCTATTAACCACATATTGGTTAATAGATTGGTGATATTTTTTAAATTATACTTTCAATTTTCAGAGTTGCAAGTCTTCATAAGTGACTTTATTCTCCGTTAGATTAATGAGCGTCCTTTATACGCTTCAGTGTTTAATTTAAAAAATTTTTTGTTTTTTTTGTTTTTTTTGTTTTAGGCACCCCAAGAAGACATAACGGTCTTGTCGCACACCACAACGTAAAAGAATTTAAATAGGAAGTTCACGTCTCCTTCCTTACCAATGGCGCAAATAAGCACAGAACTCGCTTCGGACCCTGAATCTCTTGCTTCTAAAGCAAGCGCTCCAACCACTGTGCCACAGCAAAAAAAAAAGATCTTTCTCCATTAGTTACAGAGACAACGTTGATAATTATTGATTCAAAGTTTTTTAAATGAAAATATTTGGAATTGATCAAGTGCAGTTAGTTTCTACTTATTGTCACTATCTTCGATACCTGCTGGAAAAAAGCTGGAAAAATAAAATGCACAAATGAGTCTGCAGATTCATTTGCGATAAATGAGTCAACTTTAATGGCTAGCACTTATGATGGCCTTAGTAACTTCCAAGTAAGAAATCCAAGCTATGGACGTAAGAAACCTCTAAAATATTTTGATCCCTGGCTAATAGTCCAAACTCTATGGGTAAAGACATGATGCCTCTCATGATAAACTTTTTTTGATGTTGAGCATCTTTTTCGTCCACATCTTTATTCCGGAATAAGATATATTTTCGAACATCTTTATTCCGTCCGGAATAAGAAATATGCAAAGTAGAGTTTATAGGAAGAGACGTATTGTAACTTCCATGAATTAAAAGATTTGTTTAGCAATAATTGCTGTGAGTGTAGCTGTGACTTAGAATTTAAGCGTCTTGTAATTGAAAGACTTTTTTTTTTACATTTGCAGACGTGAAGAAGTACATTGGAATAGCCAACCAAAAAAAGTAGTGGAAAAAAAGTTTTTTTTGTCAATTTTAAAGTTTTTTTGCAACAAACATGCACAAAATAAAGTATCGGAACCATTTTATACCTTTAACGTCAGATAAATTAATTAGATATAATTAATATATTATGACGTTAAAGACAACTTTAGATATAATTATTAGTTTACTAAAGAAGGCAAAATGAAAAAGGAATAACCTAATATCATGCATTTTTATCTAAATAATCTAAATTATTTTATTTTTTTTAATTTAGAAATTTATTTTCATTTTTTGAAAATAAATTTCTAAATTAAAAAAAAATCTAACTTTTCTTTTCATTTTGTATTAAATTCATTTTTTGTGCGTTTGTTGCATTCATAAATTGAATTAAGTTTATTCTTAATATAATTTTGACAGCATTTTAATTATTTAAAAATCTGACTAAGCTTAGTAAAAAAAATTTGTTATCTAGATATTTTTAAAAACTTAAATTTAAGTTTGTGTATTAAAACCATGTGAACTTAAAATTTGATTCTGATCTCTATCCGCTTCAAGTTGATTCAGGATCTTTATCCGCTTAGAGTTGATTCAGGGTCTGTATCCGCTTCAAGTTGATTCAGGATCCGTATTCAAGTTGATCCGTATCAAGATCCGTATTCAAGTCTGTATCCGCTTCAAGTTGATTCAGGATCTTTATTAGAGTTGATTCAGGGTCTGTATTCGCTTAGAGTTGATTCAGGGTCTGTATCCGCTTAGAGTTGATTCAGGATCTTTATCCGCTTAGAGTTGATTCAGGGTCTGTATCCGCTTAGAGTTGATTTAGGGTCTGTATCCGCTTAGAGTTGATTCAGGGTCTGTATCCGCTTAGAGTTGATTCAGGGTCTGTATCCGCTTAGAGTTGATTCAGGGTCTGTATTCGCTTTGAGTTGATTCAGGGTCTGTATCCGCTTAGAATTGATTCAGGGTCTGTATCCGCTTAGAGTTGATTCAGGGTCTGTATCCGCTTTGCAGATCAATCTTATCATCATAATTATTTCTTAATTGAACTTCTAGTTTATTACGAAATATATCTTGTAAGAAACAATAACTTTCTTGACTATTGTTTCAAGGTGCTCTTTGTTTTGTACACTTT